TAAAAATGATTCATTTCTTTCAAAAAAAAAAAAAGAAACATACAACTTTCCCCTAGTTCTTTAATGCTTCCTCACCACCACTATCATGACCCCAATTCTACTTTACAAATCCGGCTAGACCGGAGGATGTACACACGTACAGATAAGAGCTGGAAACACAGGGAATCCAGGACAGATAAACCCCTCAGGGCCAATAATGAGAGCAGCCTTACCAGGACGGGAAGGGGAAGGTGGGGGCGGAAAGGAGGTACCGATCACAATGATCTACCTATAACCCCCGCCCAGGCAGATAGACAACAAAAGAGTGTGTGAAGGGAGACCAGTCAGTGTAAGACAGGAAAAAATAATAATAATTTATAAATTATCAAGGGCTCATGAGGGAGGGTTGCAGAGGGAGGGGGAAAATGAGAAGCTGACACCAAGTTCTACTTTCTTAGTATGCCTATATGCAGGCCCAGAACTGTTGGGCATGCTTATAACAGAACTGGAAAAAGACTTATTCTTCTGACTGTGATCACAAGGAAACCAAATGGTCCAATTTACTTCTTTGCAGCAATTTGCTTTCAGTCAGTAAGTGCCTTGGTTATCTCACGCTACCTCAATGGAAACGGCATACGCATAAGGAGTGACCACGCAGAAATGTACTCTCACAGTTTGAGAGTCGGATTTCGGGGTACCTGCTACAAGGCAAGGCTTTCTCTCTCTGCTGCTTCTGCAGAAAGGTCTGTATCCCTTCAACTTCTGCCCTGGTTTCTTAGAGATCTGGTGTCTGGGCATCTACTTTACCCCATCTCTCCTCTCTTCTAAGGCGCCCCAGGGATACAGTGGTGACGAGTTGGACTGCGGTACGCACGGTCCACAGGTGGGCTTTCTACTCCTGTCAAGAGTTACAGTCTGGGAAACCCTCAGGGGATCGCTCTGAGTCAGCAATGATGGCAGTGAGTTGGTTTTTTATTTTTGGCTTCTCCTCCCTTCTATTTGCTCGCTTGTTTCATCCCATTTTATCTCCAAAGAGACTGACCCAAGATACACCCACTGCTCATCCTGTCTCAGGAACATAGCAAAGACACTGAGGTCCCACATGGGACTATTGCTTCAGACATAGAGCTTAGGGTTTACAACACATATTTTGGGGGGACTCACGTTTCACTCCACATCAGTAAGTGTTATGTTGAATCACCTTTGGGTGATTATTCTTTTCATTGTGAAAAGCACCACGTGTAAAAGTAGCACTGGCGTGAAACATTTAAAAGTATACTCCTCCAGCACTTGTTCTCATGTTCCTGTAGCACAGCGGTTCTCAACCTGTGGGTTGTGAAGCCTTTGGGGGTCGAATGACACTTTCACAGGGGCCGCCTAAGACCATCGGAAAACACTTATTTCCGATGGTCTTAGGAACCCGAGACACCACTCCTCCTTCAGCCTCCAGGCAGGTCCGCCACACGCAGATATGCTGATCTGGTGAGAAAGAAGCTATCTCAACCCTCGCATTGAAGTTGGCTTTTTACACATACTGTCGCAAAATGTTAGCAATGTAGTTTACTGTTGCTATATTAAGACCGTTACCCATTTTATACCATGCTTCAAGACAAAATTTAAATTATTTGTAATTACAAATAAATATTTCACAATATGTAATTACATATTGTTTTTGTAATTAATCATTATGCTTTATGTTCAATTTGTAACAATGAAAATACATCCTGTATTATCATATACTTACATTACAATTCATAACAGCAGCAAAATTAGTTATGAAGTAGCAACGGAAATAATTTTATGGTTGGGGGTCACCACAACATGAGGAACTGTACTAAAGGGTCACGGCATTAGGAAGGTGAGAACCACTGCTTTAGTGGAACCCCAAGAAGACATTAGCCCCTGTGAAGAAATGATCATAAATGACGTCAAGCCCTGGGTTTTCCTATTGAAAGGGCAGTTTTACCTGATACTTTGGGAGCTGCTCCTTAGCATGTGGTAAAGATCCCCCGGAAGAACTGTGGAAAGACAGGCTGCTGCTGCTGCTGCTGCTGCTGCTCACACTGCTGCTTCCCTGACAGGACCTGGCTGGCCTCGTAACAGGGACATCCTCCGGGTTCTGGGTAGAGGGACAAGCAGGAAGCACTGCTAAGTACATCAGCTTCATCAACACATTCCTCATGAGGCATTCCTTTTTAAAGAAACGGTGTCCAGGCTGATTAAAAAGCCAGAAGTTCTTCCTCCCTTGCTAATGACGGCAGAAAACAAGGTAATTGTGGGAGCAATGCTGAAGAAGGGCACTAGACAAAAGATATTAATCCTTTATGTTTCTTAAAAATAGGCAACTATTATTTACATGTCAACTCATACTTTCAAGGGTTCTACAAGATCTAATCTGTTTTGGTGATCAGAACTTTTAGAGTCAGAATCTGTGGAATGGAAGTGGAGAAAGACATCAATTCAAATTTTTAACGAGCAAATTGAACTAAGAAAGCAAAATATTCACTTGGAGAGGCGTGGCTTGCTGCTTCTGGTGGCAGGCCTCCTCTAGGACTCATCCAGAGCTGGTATAGGAAGGACAACCAGGAAGCCTGAGCTTATGAAAAGTGAAGTGGCCAAGCCCCTGAATGGGAGCTACTGGGGACTGACGTGTGATGCCAACAGGTCTTTAAAGGCCAGAGATGATACAGGATTGTCTGCGGTCCCTAAGTAAGAGTTCAGTGCTCATTTTTATGAGTGGCATTTGCATTACACCACAAGGAAGACTGTGTAAAGGTGTAAAGATAAACCTTTGTTAATTACGATCTGCTCCCTCACAAAACACACATACTCCCTACAGAAGCATCCTGTACCTTCTACGAGCGGGCTGCCAAAAGTTCCTGGAAATTTTCCATTCTCTTTGATTCCATTTCTCCTGAAATTTTGGAAGCCCCACTGTACTCGAGATTGTTGTATGCCAATCTCCCTTCTTCTCTTCTGTGCAGCTTTTGCTGGGAGTGGCGTGGCTGTGACTGGCTGCAGTTATCTGATCTCCAGAGTGCCAGTACACGGGTAGTCCAATGCAGAAACCTGCAGTCATGTGCTGGACACACTCTCATGATAGAACTATTTGCCAAGGGGACAGGGTGCACATGAGCAGAGTGTAAGGAAAGCACTAAATAGAACGTGTGGGGTCACAACAATCACTAGCAACAATGACATCAAAGCCAAGCATGGCTATTCCCGCACCCTGCACCCGACTCCCCAGCAACACCCTCTTCAGATTCTGCCCTGGTAGCACAGCAGTTAAAGCACTTGGTGCTAATCAAAATGTCGCTGGATCAAATCCATCGGCTGTGCTGTGGGAGAAAGATCTGGCAGTCTGTTTCCATAAAGATTTGTACTCTTGAGAACTATGGTAATCCACTAGAGAGCAATGAGACTGTTTTGGTTTTACTTAAGTCATAATCCTAGTTCAGAGCCCTGTGGCTTAGTGGTTACACATTGGGCTGCTAGCCACAAGGTCCAAAATTCAAAACCACCTGTTGCTTCACGGGAGAAAGAGGGTTTTCTACTCCTGTAAAGAGTTACTGTCTATGGAATGATAGGATCCCTGTATTAATTCCCAGTTAATAATAAATTTAAAAAAAAACAAAAACCGCATCTAAAGGTCAAAAAATAAAACCAAACTCCCCAAAAAACACAATGAAAATGCAAGACAATTTGCAATTTGGGAAATAAATATAAATATATATACTGGAACTTGGAGGTGGGGGGGCAGGTAGGGTTACTGTCTTGGAAACGCAGAGGGCAGGTCTACCCTGTCCCATATGGCTGCTATGAGTCCACATGGACTCGATGGCAGTGAGTTTGGTTTTCTGAAAGCCATGATCCAGACCCTCAGAGATCCAACTCCAAACCCCAAACATTGCCATCGAGTCGTTTTTGACCCGATGCAGCCCTAAAGACAGGGTTATAATTTCCCTGTGGCCCATGGGTTCCTGAAACTAACTCTTTGCAGGAGTAGAAAGCATCATCTCTCTTCTACAAAATGGCTGGTAGTCCCCAAATGACACGAACTGCACTGTGCCTTCCAGACTGCTAGAGCTTTGGGTTGGCGTGCAACCTACTTAAGAGTCTAATTGGAGGCAGTGTCTGATACAGTGAGTGACTAGCGCACTCACTGTACAGTCTTTGTAGCCTTGGGCAAAGTGACCACTTCCCTGAACAGATGCCACCTTTCTGACTACATGAGCCCCTTCTCAACAAACCTATGCTGCAGACGCTGGGTTATTTCAGCTGTCATACTAAGGTTCCCACTTCTTCTGAAAACTGGTGAGAATTCTTCCCGTTCATCTCTGGCAACACATCATTAGGAAATCCTGGTGATGAGATGTGGGTGTTCAACTAAACCACCTATGCTAGTCTTTCAGAGAAAGGGGAAACCATGTGGGAAATCATGGGGAAAGTAGCTCCTGTCCACCAAACGACGGGTAATGTTCACACACCGCTTCCATTAAAGCTTGCTGCGAATCACCTGAGAGATTCTGGTCTCCAATCCCCACCTGCCTTACAAGCCCAGCAACTACTGTAATGATTAGCTAACTGGCAGAATTCCACCTTAGAGCTCTGTGGAATCCACCCAGGAAAACGGCCTTGAACCAAGCACTTTCTTCCTGCAGGAATGATCCTTCTCAAAGGCAGGAAAACAGGCCCGTGGCCCAGATGAGACAACGAATGTGATACCAACTGTCCACATTACAGGTCCACACACCGACAGAATGTGGTGAGTATAAAACCAACACAACTCACACGTGCTGCTGCTGAGACGCCTCCATTGATGGTAACCTCCGTGTCAGAGGAGAACTGCCCCCATAGGATGTTCTTGGCTGTAATCTGCATGGGCGCAGATCACCAGGACTTACTTTCTTTTCAAACCATTTTATTGGGGGCTCTTACAACTCTTATAACAATCCATATATCAACTGTATCATGTATATTTGTACATGTTGCCATCATTATTTCCTAAACATTTACTTATTTGTTTTCCCAATGTGGTAATTTTTTTTAATTAGGGGATCATACAACTCATCACAATCCACACATACATACATCAATTGTGTAAAGCACATTTGTACATTCATTGCTCTCGTCATTCTCAAAACACTTGCTCTCCACTTAAGCCCCCGGCATCAGGTCCTCATTTTTTTCCGCTCCCCCCTCCCTCATGGGCCCTTGATAATTTATAAATTATTATTTTGTCATATCTCGCCCTGTGCGACGTCTTCCTTCACCCACTTTTCTGTTGTCTATTTGAGCTGTTGGTATCAGCTCTTCTTGTTTCCCTCCCACCCTCGTGACCCCTTGAAAAATTATAAATTATTTGTATTTTCTTATCTTCCACCGACCGCTGTCTCCCTTCTCCAATGGATTCTGTTGTTTGTACTCCTGGGGGGGGGGCGGGTAGGGGTGAGGTTATATGCCGATCATTTCTACCTATTCCCCGTTCCTCCCTCCTACCCCCACCTTCCCATTACCCTCCAGGTATCCTACTCCCACTTCTATTCCTGAGGGATTTATCTGATCTGGATTCCCAGTGCGCTGAGTTCTTATCTGTGCCTGTGCACATGCTCCAGCCTAGCCCGCAGTGAAAGGCAGGACTGGGGTCATGACAGTGGGCATGAGGACACTTCGAGGAACCAGAGGAATATGGTGTGTTTCATCGGTGCTATACTGCACCCTGGTTGACTCATCCCTCCTTGTCACCCTAATGTGAGGGTGTGTCCCATTGTCTACAGATGGGTTTTGGGTCTGTTCTCCAACATCCCTCTTCTCAACAATATGTCCTTTTTATCTGTTTGTTTGGGGTTTTCTAATGAGCAGGCATTTCTTTAGCAGTGCTATTGGGTGAGTTAGGAACCATCAACCTTTACAGGTTACCAGCTAATTGCAAACCATTCCCCACCCACCTCAGGCAGATCTTGGTAAGGAGAAGTGGCAAGTTAATGAACATGACAATAGTCAGTACCCAGAGATTTTTTTTTTTAAACTTGGTGACAATGTAGGATTACCAAGGTTGATGCCACAGTCCCTGAGTAGAACAGTTAATGTACTCAGCTGCAAAACAAAAGGCTGGATGTTCAAGTCCACCAGAGGTGCCTTGAAAGAAAGGCCTCACTTCCCAAAATTGGCCACAGAAAACCTTACAGAGAAGAGTTTTACAGAATTTATTTGCCAGGCACTGGGTCACTGAATGGACTGCTGTCCAGAAGACACCAGTCCAGCAGGCTCGGCCACTCCCCGTTGACACATGTGCCTTTACCTTTCCTATTCTGCCTCCATGGGGTCGAGAGCTGGTCTGGCCTCCTGCTACAGTCGCCAGCACCCACCCACACGACACCTGCCCCCAAGTCCACCTCTTCTGTGCGCCACAAAGAAAAGCAAACAGACGAAAGCCTCGACCAGTTAGGTTTCAGAAACACTCGCTAACAACGCATCTTACCATCATATAGCCCTACAGTAAAGAAAGCGATTTCATTTCGTCTCAACCAGGGTGCCGCTCATTAAATGCTGGACTGCTCAACAGTATCCACACCTAGCAGCTTCTCCACAGGACAAAACAGGGAAATCTGCTTCTAAGGAGATGTGTGGCCTTCAAAACCCCATGGAGTGGTTCTACTGGCCCAGAGCTACTGTGAGTGCGTCACAGTGGACTCACCGGCAGTGGGTTTGGTTTATACACTCTCCATTTACGTCTATTGAAAACATAAAAGGGGGCTTCAAAAAGTTCGTGGAGAAGTTCCATTTTCTTTTCATGTCATTTTACCACAAACGTTTGAAGCCCTTCATATTACCTGTACTTCCTGTTAGTAACTCCTTATGGATTTTAGAGTTCTCCATTTCCCTATTGCACGTCACACGTGGCATCACCATCTTACTAGATTGCCTCACACCTGTAAATTCACCTTGTGCATGTGGTTGACTGCTCACCCCTGGCTTGCTACCTACTTTACCAACGCTGATCAACAGCACAGGGCCTGGGGCAGGAGCCTCCTGAACCGGCAAAGCACCGGGGAGCTCAGGGAGAAGACTGTGAATTAGTGCACGGTGGACCAGGGAGCACATTTAAAGGTACAAACATAAAAGATAACAGCAAGTCCACATTTCATACCTGAGCTGCTCCCTCCTCTTCAACCTCGTGAACAGCCTTAGAGTCAAACAAGACTTGTCTGCCTCGCCTTTCGCAGTCCTGATAAACGATCAGGCGAATTTCACTCAGGTCCAATTCCGAACACGACCAGCTGTGGGTTAGAAAGGACAGAGAAGTTATACACAAAACTCGGGGTATCTCGAGTGGCTACGCTTCGCCGTCGGTGTCCCTGTGCAGCCAGCATAAGGCCACAGTGTGGGGAGCAAGTCTGTGACGTCCCTCAGTCAGTGAAGAGTCTGTGCAAATCCATGTCTGGGGATTCCCAAGTGCCGGAAAAACACTGGCAGCTATGGCACAGTCAAAGTTGGGGAGACTGCTTGAAATAATAAAGCTTTGGAAAGAAAAAGCCTCCCTTTGAAGCTGGTTGGGGCAAAGAAAGCAGCCGGAGAGAATAAACCTGGATGGTTGGGCTCTGGCACAGCTGCCCCACAGGGCAGGGAAGTACGTGGAGGAAGTCAGTAGAGCCTTTTCTTCATCTCACCCACCCGTGCTCTGGGCAAACAGAAAGGGATACGCATCATCCTAAAGCTTATTCCGTGTCCTCTATTATGGCTGCCTCTAATACAGACGTTTTGAAATCCAAGCACAGCGTTGTACAGCACCTGACTTGCTCACAAAAACCACCAGCAATACAGGAAGCATGCACAATCCTAAGCAAACCAAAAACTACTGGGATAAAGTCCCTTGGAAGAAAACGCAGACTTGTTCTTGACTAAGAAATGGTGGGGGTCTACCGTCATACCACCCTGAACGTGCACGATCTCATCTGATCTCAGAAGTTAAGCAGGGTCGGACCTAGGTGGGAGAAATGGCAGGAACTGCAGAAAGGGTAACTGTTGAAAATACATTACTATGGGCATTTTCAACGCCAATCCAGACACTCTTCTCCGAGTGTCTGGATTCCAGGCACCGTGGTAGATGAAAGGCTTTCAGCAATTAACCCAAGAGACTTAAGGCCTATTTTCAAGAAATTCACCGTCTAGTAGGGATTATTGAGCTACGAATCGATGCGTTTCAACTGTGGTGGAACACAATCTCAAATATACCACAGACAGCTAAAAGAACAAATAAACCAGTCATAGAGGAAGCAAAAAACCAGGATGCTACTTAGGCTAAGTAAGACTGTGGTTCACGTTCGTTGGGTATGTTATCCGGAAAGACTGGCAACGGAAATCATGTTTGGCAGAGGGCCAACTTTATAGTATTGTAATATACAAAGCAAGTGATTCATTCTTTATTTGGGGGATTAACACTGACTCAATTAAGCTGAGGGAGGGCTTTCTACTAAATGAGCTAAAATTTAGTAATGATTGACTACCACAGCTTCCTAAATATCTCATTTTATTTTTCAATTAAAAAGTAGAAATAATGGCTATAAGTATGCCAGATTGTTCCGCTATCTTATTCAAACACTTTAAAAGTATTTTACAAAATAAAAATATTTTACAAAGTATGAGGCCCTAAGTTCTCAAACGTGGCTGACCATTAGAATCACCTGGAAATCTGCTGAAACGACAGCTCCCGGGGCTCTATTTGAAACCTCATGAATCATCATCTCCACAGGAGGAAAGCTATAGGTTTACCAAATCCCCCGGTGATTCCAATGATCGGCCAAGTTTGGGAACCTCGGTTACCTCTGTTCTTCTTCCAGGTAAATGTGGTTTTGCTATAACAGCAGCATGTCTGACAATTTGCCCCCCACTGGTCCTCATAGAGGGACTTACAGGTGAGAATTTGGTGAAGGAAAGAGGGGTAGACAAAGGGGAGAGAGTAAAGGTCAGAATGAGATAGGCCTGGGGTCAAATCTCAGCTCTGCTTCCCTGAGCAGCACCTGCAGAGCCCATTGGGAAAATCAGACCACCTGTGAGGAATCCCCAGCACACAGTCAACAGGAATCACACATTGTGTATATTCTGTCCAGATTCGTGCTCACTTCCACATTGAACCAGCTGATTGTGGAGATTCTAAGAGCACTAACCACCATTCCCAACGATTCATTGTGGGCAACTCGGTATGATTCAGATGAAATATAAGCCTCAGGCTTCTGCCTTGAAATATCAGACTCTTTCAAAGACATTCACTTTAATAAATGACCGCATTTTCTTTGCTTTTGTTGAAGCACAGTCTTATTTATTTGCTTTACAACCAAAGCAAGATGACAAGGAAGTAAGATGTTTTGTCTATCTCCCCCTTTTCAGTAAAATTTAAACAAAACGCTTGGATAAATGCCTTTCCATTTCGAAAATTCCACGATACCATGGTGTGCTGGGATTAGAACTGCAACCAGCCTTTATTTCTGGAACTACCCATTAAAGGTGGAAAACAAAGTCAAAATTATTTCCCTCATATACAGCACGCAATAATTCAAATGATTCTAAGTGAAGAAAATGAAATTCTCTTCAAAAAAAGATAGAACCCTCAATTCAAAAGTTTATTAAGTACCTTGTTTTTATTTTATAACATGCATATAAAAAAGACTGGAAGAGTTTACAACGACTATTAACAAACAATTACTTCTAGAGAGATGAAATCGGGATCAGAGAATATCTGCTTCCCTTCTACTACTTGAATATCTTACCAGGAGCATGTAAGTCTTTTAAGTACAATAAATGAATTCAACAAACTAGTTTTTACACAATATTTCTTGTGCCCCACCATTCCACAATTTTAAGTTTAATGTCGCTCCGAATTTATGAGCAAGCTGAAAAACTCATTTAATATTAAAAACCTACTAAGTATGAGATGAGGAGCCCTGGTGGTGTAGTGGTTATGCATTGGCCTGCGATCTGCCTGGTCAGCAGTTCAAAACCACCAGCGCTCCTTGGGAGAAAGACTGGACTTTCTACTCCCACAAACAGTTAATCTCGGAAACCACTGGGGGTTGCTGAGTCAACATTGAATCGATGGGAGTGAGTTGAACTGTGAGATGAAGGCGCCCCTGGTGGTGCAGTGGGCTACAAGTTGGGCAGCTAGGTCCAATGCCACCAGTTGCTCCTTTAGAGAAAGAGGAGGGGTTCTGCAGATTTACAGCTCCAGAAACGAAGGGGCAGGTTCTGCTTTTCCCTATAAAGTAGCTACAAGTCAGAATTGACTGGCTGGCAATGGCTTTGGTTTGGGTGCATAGGACCCTTTTGGAGGGGTAGAGCGTGGCGTTAGCAAGAAAATTAATATGGAATGTATAGTCCCTGCTCTAAAGGAATTCAAAATCTAAAGGAAGAGCTGATTGTGTGGATCTTGAAAGCAAGAGGCCGCGGGAGAAGAGAGAATGCAGGAGAGGAAACAAAACCTTTTTAGAAGCAGTGACATTTGAATCAGTGAAGTCATGAAGCACGGCAATGATGAGACACAGGAAGAACAAGGGACACAGCCATTCCAGGCTAACAGCACAACAGAAACCACAAACATCAAATCAGTGGTTGGAATATGTCCACCACTGGAGAAGAACTGCATAGGAAATAAGGCTGGAAATGTCAGGGAATATATTTTGTGTTCTACAAGCAACAGCATGTGGCTCTAAATCAGTGGTTCTCAACCTGTGGGTCGCGACCCCTTTGGGGGTCAAATGGCACTTTCACAGGGGTAGACTGATTCATAACAATAGCAAAATTATAGTTATGAAGTAGGACCAAAAATAATTTTATGGTTGGGGGGTCACCACAACATGAGGAACTGTATTAAAGGGTCGTGGCATTAGGAAAGTTGAGAACCACTGCTCTAAATCCTTGAGGGTAAATGGCATGACCTGGCCTATGTTTTAAGGCGGTAACTCAAGCGGGTTGAGATCTTTTTCGGGGCAAATACATTCCTCAGGTTTTCAGAAGGAACCGAATGAGAGAGAGAAAACAGCAGGTGCATAATCTGTTCCAAGACCAGTTGTAGTGTTGGCATTTGATTCTTCCCTAGAGCTTCCACAGGTATCAGGTTAGAAGAGACAAGAGTATGCCCTCATTGAAGGTAAGCGTATTTGGAACATATCCTTCCCTCTTACTCTCACACAAGCAAGCAGCCTCACATTGTCAAACCATAGTTCACAAGAAAAGTTTAAAGGGCTGATGGTGCCCGGCTATCAAAAGATACAGCACTTGGGATCTTAAAGGCTTGAAGGTAAACAAGTGGCCATCTAGCTCAGAAGCAACAAAGCCCACATGGAAGAAGCACACCAGCCTGTGTGACCACGAGCTGTCAAAGGGATCAGGTATCAGACATCATCAGAACAAAAAAATCATATCATAGGGAATGAGGGGGGCGGGGGGGGAGTGCGGAGTGGAGACCCAAAGCCTATTTGTAGGCCACTGGACATCCCCTTACAGAATGGTCTCGGGGAGGAGATAAGCAAGTCAGGGTGTGATGTAGCAATGATGAAAAATACAACTTTCCTCTAGTTCCTAAATGCTTCCTCCTCCCCCACTATCAGGATCCCAATTCTAGCTTACAAGTCTGGCTAGACCAGATGATGTACACTGGTACAGATAGGAACTGGAAACACAGGGAATCCAGGGTGGATGATCCTTGCATGACCAGTGGTGTGGGTGGCGAGACAGGGAGGGTTGGGGGAGGGTGGGTTGAAAAGGGGGGCACCGATTACAAGGATCTACATGTGACCTCCTCCCTCCCTGGGGATAGACAACAGAAAAGTGGGTGAAGGGAGACGTCGGACAGGGCAAGATATGACAAAATAATAATTCATAAATTATCAAGGGTTCATGAGGGAGGGGGGAGGGAGGAGGGAGGGGAAAAATGAGGAACTGATGCCAGGGGCTTAGGTGGAGAGCAAATGTTTTGAAAATGATGAGGGCAATGAATGTACAAATGTGCTTTACACAACTGATGTATGTATGGACTGTGTTAAAAGTTGTATGAGGCCCTAATAAAACGATTTTTAAAAAAAGAATAAAAGTTTAAAGAACAGTCTTGTGACTCAAGATTGTGAATGCTTTGAGAGTCAGGTATGACAAGAAAAGCTAAATGGCCCATGCAAAGGTAAACTGTGAACAAAACAAAACAAAACCAACAATAATAAACGCATCCCAAACTGGCAAATACTACCCATTTAAACAAGTTCTTACTGCAAGCTAGTGCACAAACCTTAGC